TTATTACGCGATAATTCCTTCTCTTGTTGTGAAGGAAATGACGGGCATGTGTGGCCAGTTTAAGAGCTGGCTGGCTGGCCTCTCTTGCTTTGCCATTAAATAATTAAACGGCAGCATGGACATTGTGCGTTTGAAGAAAATGTAATACATTCTCATTTTCTACGACGCAACGGAACTCTTTGTAATCGAGTATTAGGATATTCTCGGAACTTCATAAAGCATAGTAACTCGTTTATAGGCTTCATAACTGAAAGCCTACTATCTACAAAAGAAAATATGGACTTCGAGGGCGCAGCAACTCTGTTTACACAGCAATTTTTCTTTAATATGCATGGAAGTGAAAAAATAAAATTCTGAAGCTTTTAAGAGGCTGCTTCCTCTTTTACGATCTTTTCACCTGACGATATCAAGTGATTTAAATAAATATCAATCTAAATTAATCGATGAAAACATGTTTCGTTTTGTGGCATTCAGACTGGTCGCGTGGTCGCTTTTAGGCTCTTCGCATTTCTATGCTTCTATTCCAGCTTTCCATTCTATTATCTTATTTCCTGTTTCTTAGTATTCACGCGGGTTTTCGCAGCCTTGAACATATCCGACGACCAGGCTCGCATGATCCATTCGTCTTTAAGATTATCAGCTTTCTCTTAATTTCCTCTATTGTTCATATTTATTTTCCAGTTTTTTTCCAGATCTGATCAGCCTCTGCTGTTTTTCCCCTTCCTTTCGTACGAATTCGTGAATGCACAGATCGTATCAGCAAAGCATAAAATCAATTATACCGAAAGGAAATTGTATTAACAAAAGTGCTTGAAATATGAGACAAATGAAACTCTCAATTTTTTCCTTTTACTCGCACCACTTCTACAACAATCAATGCAATTGCTTCCGCGCCAATAGAATTCAGTTACGTATAATACCCAAGTTAGGGGCCTCGTGACATTTCTAATACCTACGTGACACTCGTTGCGAACGTTTTTATTGAATCGCTGCACATCGCATCAAGTGTATACATGATTTGAACGTATCGACAGCTTGATATATTGGCAGGAGCAGATAACAGGGTAGCAGCGCGCATAGAAGTCGTTGCACCCTCTCCCGCATTTTACGCTGATAACCAAACTGAGCATGTTCAGAGTGTCAACATGAAACTATGGACTTTATGCATCCAGCATTCTAGATTCTGTACCTATATACCCTTGCCGGCGTTATATACATATAGACACTGTCGAATTCCAAGTTTATATCGTCGGTGTTTTGTTAAATTTTTATTTCACGCTTATCGGTAGCCAGCAGCGAAAGCTCCTATCGATTAGTGATAACTGTTTGAAGGTTTTTTTTTCACCAGCGAAAACTTTATTCCGCATCGTTAACGAGTTTTATGAATCACCTCGTCATTGCTGTAGTATTTCGGATCATATCGGACTTGGAATTTATACGTCAGCGATTACAATTGCCCGATTGAATAATGTTCGAGTCCAATCAGAAAATTTCCGTATTATTCAGGTCTAAGAAGCCTTACATGTTAAAAACGATGAACAAGAATGACATCGAGGTCGATAATTGATCGGATTGGCATAATTGACTTATTTATTATGAAATTCAACAATGATACTGTCAGTCACGATTAACAGACAAAAAGGTAGACAATTCGACAAACGTGTCTATTCATTCAGGAATAAACGCAAGCGATTGCGCGAATACTTTTTTCCCTCGTTACTATAGAGACCTACCTTCGGTACGTACGTCTAAACGAGTGACACAATCGAGAAATGAAAAGATTGCCGTGCGGCAACGTTAACCGCTCCGTAGATTGACGTCAACATTCACCTTGACTCGTAATGATACCGTACGCGATTACAATGCTGTGCCTAGCTTTCTTCAAAAACTATCGATGATTATCACTGACAATTAGGCGTTACTATTTTTTCTTCGCCACGGATCCAGCCGAGATTTTAATAGGCCCGCATTTTCCTGCTTCAAGATAAACTCTTAGCTCGTCGATTTCTTCCTGCCCACGAATTAAAGTCGACTTTGTGTCTTTACGGTGGCCTTGAAAATATCGAGGCGTCGTACAAAGCAGCTCGATAAAAGCAAACCACGATTACTTTTTACTAGCGAGATAAAATAAGGGTCGGACGCACGACCCTGATCGCCATTCGATCAGAGAATACGTATTAAAGATGACTAGACCACGGATTTTACTGCGACGTTCAAACCTGTCTTTCTAACTATAAATGTAATTGCATAAAAATCTACGGGAACGTGGTGACATATGTTTCCCTTTGTTACAGATGTCACTCTCAGAGTTCCGGAAGAAGAAGCTTATTTACGTTTTCAATACGTTCTTTGGTGAGTACGCATCGTCGCCTGCATGCAAATTCAATTGACTGGTATGTTGCACAATTTAATCCCCGTGTAATACATATAAGCGCGTATTGTAAACGCGATAGTTACCGACATAGGGAATCGGATTGGTCAGCTAACAGAATTAATTAAATTCTCTGTAGGAACGAAGGGGATAAACGATAGGCAGTCGGATCGGAACCCTTTTAAACGCGTAAATTCTCGCATATCGCGCGATGGACGAGACTCTCGTTGTAATCGGATTTTATCTCAATTATCCTGCATCCGTTGTGAATAACAACAGTTTAATTGACGATACCGGAATTCCCCTCAAAGTTAATTGAGACGAATCTCTTCTCGAATATGCGAAATATTTTTTTCCTGGGAAATATCGTAGCTTCATCACCTCGTAATAAAAAACGAGAATTCGATAATTAACGAATAACAAATTGAATAACATTCGTTCTGGTCGGTTCGTTCGCGAGTAGACGATATAAATGAACCTTTAATCGTGGAAATTCCGCTGTCAGTTAATTGAGACGAACCTCTTCGCTCACGGATATGCCGGTAAAATGATTCTTCCCGGGGGAAGTCGTAGCCAGTCGCCCGGGTAACGAAATAACGAAACCGATTGTCGTTTCCCTGGCGGTCGTAACGCGTTTCCCGCGGCTCTTTCGAGAATCGAGGGCTAACAATCTCCGTTTTCGTGGCTATCGCGGCCAAGCAACGCGAGCGAATGTTGCCTTCTAGCGAAATGAAATACGGTCCGGAAGGGTGAGAGCGAAGAGGGTATTTTTGGGGGCTAAGAGCGGACGAGAATCAAGGCTCCTACAAGGGGCGTTTTGTTCGGTCTCTCTATGGCACCTATGTGTTGGTTCGGGCAAAAGTGAGTCAGGCCGGACACCTATTTATGGTACGAACAGGAGCAGATAAACAATAGACGCGTTTAAGGGGGATGCCTTGCCCGCGTTGAAATTACACGTTTGCCCGCGTACCCGCCTGTCTTCGAGATACGACCTTACTTCACGTGTCTCCGTGTGCGCGCATACATGTACACGTCCGCTCATTCATACCACGCGGGGTTGTCCGCGTTTTCGAGAAGTAACTCACACAGAGGCGCCTAACGGCAGAGCGTGTCCTCCTGTTCGTGAAGTTCCGGGAACGTACGGACCGTGTAAAGTGTAAAGGCTCGCCACGGACGCGAATAACAAACCGGAGTAAATATTTAATTTATAATTAACGGACGGAAAGTTGTGAATAGAGGCAATTCGTGTGCATCGGGAAGGTCGGGAACTGCGTTAGGCCACAGAGTGTACGTGTCAGAGCTGGCTGGCTCGTGTGGAGGTCACAGGCGTGCACACGCTTCGCAGCTCGCATTAGCTCCGTACTTTCTTCCCTTCTTTGACCGTCGATCGGCCTGCTAAACATAACTACGGGGATGCTTCTTCGATACACGGCATTTCACCGTGACCCAGAGGAGCCGTGAAACGGTGCGGTGCGATGGGTCGCGAATCTTCGCGTGAAAACGAACGTTCGATCGCGGCTTCGCACGATTTAGGTACGATTTTAACAAATTTAGACGGTAATCCCACTTATTTAGAGTGCACGTGCGATACCAGCTGACACCTAGCACGGTCCGAACCTGAATTATTTCGCTGCGACCTCGATAAAAATTCGCCGCCGTCGGAACTGTAAATTTTATGCCGCGGACTGGTAATCGCTGTTTAGGGCGACGGGAAATATAAAAACGCTTCCGACGGAAGGAAGATATAAAAATGAGAAACCGTGAAAGGAGCTACAAAAAGTACGGAGAGTTTTCACTATGAAACTATAGAACAGTAGCGAAATAGGAGGGACTGAATAAAAGGGAATGCAAACAGAGGAGCGCGACAGTAGTGGGAGATTCGTCCGGTGATATTAGAATTAATAAAGTAGGAGAGTATCCCGGAGGCCGCCCAACGATAATAGGTGACACCTGAAAAGACGCGAGCCGTGAAATTGGGTCGACTTTGCGAAAACTAATGACATCCGATTCAAACGAGACGAGGAGGAGGACCCTGCCGTGAACGATGAATGGCGATCGACGAGAGCCCGTTCTTTCCACGGGAAATCTACCCGTCAGAGATCTTGTCGCACCGTTCTGGCTGGATACAGGCCAAAAATACGGCCATATTTCATTACATCGATTCCTTGTCACGTGTTTTGCCTACGTGATCGAGACTCCGGGAGAGCGTCGCCTGGGACCGCGGAAGGGTTTTGTTTCGGTGAACGCGGCTCCGAACGATAAGCTGACGAGGCTAATGGAACGGCGTATTAACGTTAACGTGGCTCGCCGACGCGCTCGACTTTAATGCGACGATATGCCTTTGACACTGTACTAACGTTATGTCGGACGGCTTTATCTACGACTTTTTTCTACCTTGGTCCCGTGCCAACCGTCCACTTCTCCCTTGACTAACACACCCGCGTCCCGATTTCGGCTATCTGGCTGCCTCGTATCTCGAAGATCGTAACGTCGACTCTGACCGACCGATCTAGCTAGTTCAGGACATTTCGCACACTTGCTCGCGACAGTTTAGCGCTGTCTATGATTAAAACTTAATGGACGGTTCTTCCCATCGTTTAACGTCGAACGCGACTTACGAATTTAAACATCAATGTACATATTTGTAACAAGAGTATTCTCCCTAGTTCTATAACAAAATAAAATAGTTCACTTGGTCTTTAGATTTTGACAGAAGTGGTGCGATCGATAGGAAGGATCTTGACCTTGCTATACAAGTAAGTGTCCCCTTTCTCAATGATCATGAAGATTGTAAAAATAGATTTAAACAATCTTTCTTGTTTTGCCTTAGCGAATCAATGAAAACAGGGGTTGGTCTCCCGACAACCCTAAAGCTCAATCTATTAGGGAAACGTTGCTTAAAATGTGGGATGGCTTGAGACAAGGCGCTGATACAGATCAAGATGGTCAGGTAATTCATTAATAGAATGTAACATAATTAGAGAAGTATAACTAATCTACTGTGCATTATTGGCCGGAAAAAAAATAGAGACAAGCATGTATCGTCGTTAGCGGAACACGGCGAGCGATGTGTGTACGCGGCCAAGGTACCACCGAGATAGTAAAGGGTACTTGAAATCCGATTTTTTGTTATTGTTTCACAGGTTAGCCGAGATGAATGGTATCAGCTATGGGAGGGCTATGCCAAAGATCCGTCAAATCCGACGGATTGGCAAGCCGCATATATGAACGTAACATTCCAGTTGTTCGATGCATCAGGTGAGTCTATTATATTTTATTAGTTCTATTAGTTTCGTAAAGAAATATTGATAGCGAATTTTCCAATACGCTCGCGAGGTGAAATATTTGTGAAAAAAATTCGAGAACAAGGTCGAACAAAAAGTTGATAAATAATAAACGCGATAAAGAGAAATAGTTCGCCTGCATCAGAGATGCTTTTGATTGCGTTTTTATAATACTCAGTTCATCTTTTACGGACTTATACTGAATATATTTATATCTATCTTAAACGAGAGCATTCATAAAATTTCGTAGCAAATACAACTTATTAACGATTTCTACGAATATTTAACTAACGAGGCCACTATGCTTCTTGTTAATCAGGTGATAAATCGATCGACGAGAATGAATTCTGCAACGTCTGTAGTTACGACAAAGTGCCCGAGGCTGAAGCCAGGGAGGCGTTCAAAAAGTTACAAGTCGTAAGTGTGAAAATCATATCAGCAAGTAATTTTCATCGAAATCGTTTCTGACCCGAATCTATTCCTTTGTTCGTTTTCCTTTTTTGTTCAAACACAGGGCCATCAAATCACATGGCAGTCGTTTACAGAACTTTGGAAGGAGTATTTTTCCTCAGACGATCCGGCCGCACCCGGAAACTTTATTTTCGGCAAAACTTCATTCTAATTCGATTTTGCCATTGAGGAGAGCCGACCGACGCGCATGTATTATTAAATCCCCTCCCCCCCCCAAAAAAGGCGTCCCTTGATGTACTACATGTTAACGCTTCTCTGCGTCTCGTTTAACTGAAGATTATATTTATATTTCTATGTAGATGTGCTAACATCAAATATAATTGTCCATATAAGATACATTTATGCACTACGCCACAAAATTATAGGATCGCATTGAATACCTTCAGCTTTCCTCAAAGTTTTGCAACACAAAGGGGTCTACGAAAGAGTTACGTGGAAGACATTGAAAGTAGAGGCGTTACCCTTTAAAGCAGACACAGCTAAATTGTTGTACAAGTGTTCTTTCACATAGCAACAATTTGAATGTCGACAATTTCTCCAATTATGACCCTCTAATTTGTTGGCGCAGTGTCTTATATTATTATTCGAACTTCAAAATTTAAATTGACGTTGAGAAATTGAATATAATTGCTATGTAACTCAATTACAAACTATTCAGATTATTAATAGTCCGTTGTTGTAGTACGTCCTTAGTTGTACGCAATTTTTCATTTCGATCACAGACTATTTAGTTTCCTGACGTGGAATGATACGGAAATGCGTACGAGGGCGAGCTGAACACGCGTGCGTCTGCATGGTTTAATGTTTAATTATCCGAATTCTTTTCGTACTTTAAACAATAAACAACATGAACAATAATATAGCCTTGTGAATACAATATAGATTATCTCACATCGTAATCTCTGAATGTGCTAATTAAAATTAACAAGAGGATCGATGTCCTCGAATTTCAGTTAACTCATTAAGTCGCAAACAATGAAATAATTAATTATGTATTACTTATTAGAGACCATAAATGCATCAAAAGAATTTATTGAATTTTCGTATAAAGAGATGTTGCATTTAAGTTATGGGCATGTTGTAATTAGGACAGTCTGTGAACTATATGACTTATAATAAAAATTCTCACGACCCAGCCAGAGGAAAGAATACTAAATCTTAGTTTTATATCTTTAATATAAATAGCAATATTTTACTATGAATGTACAGAAGTAAAACGTTCTGTTCATACAATGTGACAGAGCTGGACTTAATGAGTCAAAGGGAAATGTAAGTACTCAGATAGAGTCCTTAATTTGTTACGAAGTTAAATAACCTAATAGCAAGAATAATAGAAAGGGAAAAGCCAGACTACACTTAGTTGCAAAGAATTTGTATGTTTTCTGTGGTATTCAATAAAGGGTATTTCAAAGTATCATTGAAAATGATAATGATTATGTTAAAAGTGATAATGAACGCACGCTATCAACGACATTATGTGGAAACCGTGAATAAAGTACGTGCAAAAAATTAAAGATTATAATTGTACTCACGAAAACCGTTGCCGAATTGGCTGGAATTATGCGTTGTTCCTAGTCCCGCGAAAAGAATGTCTGCTAGAAAGATTTTTTAATTAGGATAAAAAATAATGCGAACACAAAGAATATAAGAAATTACTAATAAATGTAAAAGATGTTTGCTGTGAAGGATAGGGTGGTATTATAAAATACGTGTAAAGTATGTGTTTTACCACCGGGAGGATTCTGCAGCCAGCCCGTTTTCCTTACAATTCGTAGCAAATGCTTAACGCTAGCCCCGTGTATTGGCATCAGATATGTATCAAGTTATAAAGTATATAAAGCGTATCGATTGACGTTTTTTATTGTTAAAATTGCAATATGTCAATCTTACTCACTGAACTTATTTATTAATATTACGATGTTACTACGTCAATGCAACAGGCTAGCGTGAAGTGTTTGTTGCCTATTAATAAATTAAAACAGTTGCAGAATCATGACCACCGGTTGCTACCATAGACATATAAGGATAGACTGCGTGAGCATTGGAGGGACCCTGTAAGTGGCTGTATCAGCGCAATAGAAAGCACGAAGAGGACCTACTATCCTTCTTTACTGGAAAATATTACAACATAAAAATATATTCACATGCGTATCTAGAAAAATAAAGAGACCACTGTTTGGCAACATTCTCTTTTTACCGTCCTGTTGATTTCTCGGCCCGCTCACGCTGTCTATTCTTCTATGTCTATGATCGCCACGGATATATTTCTGTATTAGTATTCGGAATTGATGTACTGATCGATGTGAATCGTACATAACGGCATGAGTGGAGTTATGTAAAAGATAAATGCGCGTCAGGTATTTAAATAAATGTGTCTGTGAACTGCAATATTGCCAGAAAGAATCATTCTTCCCATTTAGTATTGTTGTACATGAGTTTAACTAATACTACTCTACGATCTAATGTAATATTATTACGTACACGCGTATGAAGGTGTGCGTGAAGTTCACGCAGAATATAATATCAAATTTACTTACTGTGAACATTAATCCAACGAGGAATTGATTACTGGAAAGCAATTTCTTCGTAACACACACTAAACACTTGCCAAAGTTCGTTCCCGCCAATTACCTGGTTGTTATATCAAGGATCACAAAACATTTACGAATGATTGTGTATCGATGCATTTAAAACGATTCTTACGGTAAATTACGAACGCTTTCAATAAACGGTGGCAGGAAATTAACCGAACTTGGCGCAGAAACCGATTGTCAAAGTCACGATGCAAATGAAAGTACGTACCATACAATATTGATACTTGGGAGCAATTCATCGATATTCAAGATACGTACGTTAATACCTTGTCCTGTAGAGATACCTTGTTTGTCCAAGAACGTAACACTTGACGGACTAATTCTTAAACATTAATTGCGTGACTGATTATTCGAACTTCAAGCTGTTTCAAGATGTCTGTCGTCTAGCGCCTCGCTTTTGCGCGGCAGGCCGAGCGCTCGCTCAGCGTCGCTATTGTCCGGCAGCACCATCGTCATTGTCTCTGCAGCGCGAAATAAGAGTTTGTCGACCTGTTCATCCTAGTCGGTGAGAATCTGAAAGAAAGATATGCAGGAGAATTCGGTAAGTGGCATTTCAACAAATATATCGTTAATTGATACGCGACATTTGGAACGGTGCTAATATACAAGCTGTCAGTTACATAACTACTCCCCTACTTCTCTAACCTAACCTCCGTCTTTGTTCGAATTGTAACAAACATACAATCCGTTTTCGTTCGCTATCTTATCATTGCGATCAGATAAGTGAATAAGTTTTATATGACACCTTCGCTGAACGGGAGTTCAGTATTATTCATACCATCGGCAGACTCACTATGGTGCAACCAATTACTGTATTCATTGCATATTACACTGAAGCCTTACAGCCTTACACTATTTACGCAATATTATCTGTCAATGCAAGCTGTAGCTTCAACCGACGTTAGGGTTCAATATAATATATGTAGATAAATGTAGTGAGTGACAAGTGTATTGCATGATTCTATTCCATTGATTGTTCATTGGAAGTTATTTCCTCTTAAGGTGATAAAAGTCGAGGCATAATGTAAGTATTCAGATTCAAAGTAACTCTTTTGGTAGTTTCTTTGTCTCACTGGCAACTTGATTAGACAGTAAGTGACGTCATTTATATAGTTATATAACAGTTACCAAGTGATAAAGGATGACGATTGATACTATGATTGTATGAGGGCTAGATTTGAATTGCTTCTTCACTAGCTAACACTACATTGCTTAAGTTAACGTAACAGTACTTGAGATAATCTGAAAATCTATGTTCTTAAAGTAACATAATTAGCTTTGAATTGTTAACGCGACTTTATATTGGCATGAGTCAGCATTTATCAGTAGTCAAATACAAATCTGTTCTACTAATGCTTTGAAGCATCATTAGTCCTTAACGAAGAACTTCTTTAAAGGAAAGTAGAGTCTCTTGTTAGAAAATACAGCAGGGGAACCTTCTTACAGGTTGGATTACGGTGATTTAGATTTGCAAAAAGAAGAAGACGAAGTGGAACAATTTGCCATGACTTCCTTAGGCAAACTAATATTTGTAGACATACATTGTAGGCATCCAAAGTCTTTATCTTCAGATAAACCGTCTGTAGATACCATTGATTCCTTATCACTTGCTTTCGAAGACCTTTTTTACATGCCGTTTGACATTATTGAAAATTACAGTCACACTTTACGTACGTTGGACATTAGCCATAATAAGTTCAGTAGGTACGTACGGAATGAGAATATGTACAAACGTAAATTAAGGGAGAGGTTTAAGGGACCTGAGAGATTTCTTTCTGTCGCATTTTTAGAAACTTGCAATTTTTGGGTGAATTCGACAATTTAACGTCTCTGAACTTAGATCACAATAACGTTGACGATTACACTGTATTCCCGCATATGCCGAAACTTCAACTTCTCTGGTTAAATCATAATAATATAGAGGAACTCTATCCGTTTATTAAGAATCTCTATGAGAGTCTACCAAACCTCAGATATCTATGTCTTATGGGAAACAAGGCAGCACCGAGTTATTTAAATGGTGGGACCTTTTATGACTATCTTCAATACAGGTATGAAAAATAAGAAAAAAGAAGGCATGATTATAAGTGTTGGTTTGACTGTGTAACTGGATTGTACATGTGTATGCATGTGTACGTGTGTAATTGTCTATTGTGCGGTCAGTTATCTATCAGACGAATATTTTTGTGAAAAAAAGGTTGTACGTGATATCCTGGTTTCCGCATTTGGTACATCTGGATGACAGGAACGTGACAACGGAGCAACGGCAAGAAGCGAGAAGGCTTTTCAAGCGGCCGATGTTAGAAAATCTAACTGAGCACGCTCCTCTGCCAGAATGCATTAAACATCTGCACAATAAAATTACAAATATGTTTTCCAAACCGACACTGCCCTGCAAATTAAAGCCTAGAGGAACAAACTTCATCGTTTAAAACGATATTAAATTATCATCGATATAATCCTGCTCAGAAGTAGTCTAATTTTGTAAAATCAAAATATTCTTCGAGATATACTATTTTTATTTGCTCAGAAATGTTTTATACCGATGGTAATAAAAATAAAAAATAAAGATTTTTACTAAAAGTTCATTGCTAATTATTTTGTATCCATTTTTATTTAAATAGTTTCAATTTGTTTCCCATCGATTTATTACGTACAACGGTATGCGACGCACGAGTTTAGGTACGTATTCTCCGTTCGTCCTTACGTCTATCACGATCGTAAATAATTCCGTCTAAAGTACGAAGTATTATAACACAATTTGTACGTTCATTTTTAGGTATCTTCGTTTAATTGTAAAGGAAATTTTGTCAAAGTCGTATCTTTTGATGTGCGCCCGATATCGATAAGCGCGAGTACTCTTCCGAATTTCTTTGATTTATAAAACATTGCGGGAGACGTCGTTTTAAAGCTGACTCGACATTCGTTCTCGAATAAAAAGAAAACGTTCGTCAGACAGTCGTAAACATGTGTATGATAAGAAAGTTTATTGAACGTCTTGGAATAACTCATAAATTCCGTTTTACGCTAGAATGCATTGCAAATAAACGGTGAATTGATAAATCGGAGAGTAGTATCTCGTGACAATTAATACACGGCACGGACTTCTCTACTCCCGGATGAGACGACATAATTAAAATGAAAAAACGCCAATCATGGAACAAAATGATAAATGAATACGATGAGTGTTTGTTAAGTGTCGTATAATAATCGGAAATAATTTGAACTATATCAGGACTCTTGAAAGTTGTTTTCATCTTAAGTTTGATCTCCTATCTATTGTAGATACCATAAATTATCAGCGATTACAGGAACCGATTATGATATTAAGAATATTTTTTTAAATGTTTGTGATCGTTAGAACACGAACATTTTTAAGTAGAAAGAGTCAAGGTTTAAAAAATATTGTAAGAGGTGATAGAAAAATGGGATTGAGACAGTGTTCTAAGGGATTTTAGGTAAACATCAGAGTAGAGATTCTGTACGCCGACAATTAAATAGAACTTTACAAAAATTATAATGCATTTATAATTACATCAACTTTACATTCACTGTCAGTAATACTTCATGCGATGAATTATCTCTAATGAATTTATATTTGGTAACGTGATATGTTCCTTCGTCAGTTTCATTTTTTAAAATTCGGATAATTTATACTCCTATAGGTCGTCAATTCTTCAGAATAATCTTTCCACAATGATAGATCAATCGCAGGAATGTTTTCGCAGTTCATAATAGGGTTACTGAAATAAAGGAAAATTCGTAATCGGATAGAAGAATTATTAGAGTTATCGCATGTAGGAATGGAAAACTTACGTTGACGATACTTGTTCGAATCCTCTTGGCTGCATACTGGTGATGTAATCACCATTGTCACAGAATAGTCGAGATATACTAGCCTTCCGAATCTCATTCAATTGTTCTGATAAATTAATGATCAGTTACAAAGAAAGCAGTATATTACAAAATTTTTTGAAAAAAGGAATAGAATTTACAATTAATATAAGATGAAGATGTTTACCTATAGTGAATGCTAATTTATGATCGTTATTCTCGTACCAATGTCGGTCTCCCACTCTCGTTCGGTAAAATTGTCTAACGAGTATACACAAGAAAGTAGGACCGGAAAGAGTGCCTGGCACGTGTTCCTCTAGTGACCCGCCGACAGTCAGTTCGATATCATCAGGACTGGGATACAATTCGGCCAATTTTTCCACATTCTATAAAAAAAAGATATACTCCCTCCTTAATGAATCATTCTTACGTCAATACTGACGTGATTTCGATAACGTAAATTCTATAAAATTGCATTTAGAAGTTATCAAAGTTTATGTAATATTATGAACTCTCACACTCTGCTTTGATTTAAATAAAAATGAATGTTTCTAATACTTTGCATTACGAATTGAAATTCCAGGAATGTTTCATATCATTACAAAATTCACAAGTTTTACAACGAAACTTATTTGCAATTTGGTATCTCGGTGAAATTTCTACCTACCGAGGCAGAGATGTAATCCATAAAGTCGCCAAAGTATTTCGCCCTAGGCAAACCGCAATATTCGCGGAAGTCATTGTAAGAAGCGAGCCCGTGATCGCGATTCCTTTGAATATCTATCGCTCTAAGGTCCTGCCCCAGCGGTCTTCCGTTCCTGAACAAATATTGCGTGATCTGAAAGGCACAAACAGCAATCAATTTAATTTATCGTTCATTCCATTTCAATTCGCTTTTCCGTACCTCAGCATCAAAATATTGATCACTAGCTTTTTCCGGTTGATAAGACATTCCTCTAGTAAGATCATCCATGTTGTTGAACCGTTCAATGATTCCTGGCCTGTTGAAATGATCGCTGAGCCTCAGAGCACCCTTCGACGATCGGTACTCAGTCACCAAGCTGAATGATTATATAAATTAGTATTAAATATTCATAAAATATTCTTTATACGATTAAACATACTTGAGATAACCAGCGATGAGAGAATGGAAGTATCTAAATGCCGCAGTCGAATGCTCATTTAGAGTACTGGGATTTACATTCGGATCGTAATCGTTCACGTAATCCTTAGTTCGGTATAAAATTTTGTTACCATACGTAGCCTCGGCGCCTAGAAATTGAATATTCGTATTAAATTCAGAATATATCAATGCCTCAGTCATTACATTACCTAAAAATATTGGTAGCCACTCGTAATACGAAATATGCTGATGTTCCGCAATTACAATTCGTCTCGCCTCTTGGAAAGTCGTCTCGTCGGTCCAGTGAGGATTTAAGCGTGCTAATGCATCCGCGATGCGATTATGCTCCCTAAGCAGTATTATTTGTAAGACGGTCAGTTGCGGATTTTGATTGACTCGAGCATCACCTGCGACAGGAACGAGTAGATTTGCATAACATAAACAACATGTGTAACTTATGAGAGAAGTAATTTATTCATATTAGAAGCTTACCAGCTTGATAACAAACTTCTCTAGGGTCCGTATTTTCACAGACTTCGCTTTTGTTCGCTGCCGCTGGTGGCCATTGCCTATTGTTTCGAATATCTACGTTTAATCGACCGCCGACACCGGCTCGCAAAGTCGCCGCCAATTGATCGCTCGATCCATAAACGATCGAGAGATCCAAGAAATGTGTAACCACCGTCAGCTAAAAAATTCGTTTTATAGAATCATAATATATCCGGAGTTAAATCAGATTAAAGCGTTCTCGGTTTTCTTTTTCATATCTAAGGATTTTAGAAAGTGATAAAATTCCTTGGATAATATGCAGTTTGTAGAATATAGCTTCTAACATGTGTTAGTGATCAATGAAATGATTTATTGAATTAAGCACGTACGGGTAATTATAGTGCTCTATGGTTATTACGTATCTCGATCATTTTCAATTCTCAGACAGTTCTGATCTTTAAGCGATGATATGGATGAGGTAACAAACAAGTAGCTATCAGGTGTAAAGGAATAGCAAACCTGTTCTGCTGGTTTGTTCGACGCGCAGCCACGGTCAAGATCAGTGGTACTACGGACGAAGTTGAGACATCTTATACTACCTTTCCTGTAAACGGGATCGTTGTACGGTATAAGTATTGGGTAACACTGGTTGTCGAGTAATGACTGGTCCACTAACTGTCCATCGTCCGTGCAGCATTGGGTCGCGTGCGGTTCTGTCACATTAAAAGATAATTAAAAACGGACGCAACCACGAGAAATCATTAGTTCTCTCTATTTCTCTCCTGTGTGAATTAAATTTTAATTCGCAATTTTCTAGACGTCCTTCCAATATGAACAGCAATTTTCCGAGTTTCTTAATAGTTTACTTTTATTCAATTTGTCTTCGGAGTTATAATTGAGGTGTCAGATGTGTTAAAACAGGATCTAAGTAAAAATTCTTGTTTGTCACATTCCTACGTTACATTTATATCAGAAGTTTACTATCTGATTTTAAACTGGTTTCAAGTTACTCGTCTAGTCGTGCAAATTAATTGAGTCTATTAAGTAAAAGTCTCTAATGGTTCACCGAAAGATTTTTTCATTTCATTACACATAAAAATGGACATTCATCTTATTTCCTGTCCATTGCAGACGATTTTAATGAACCACTGATATCTCTCCCTCATTCTTTAGTATTAGCATTGCGAAATTGTGGAACCTTCTGTGTGGTAGGGAAAAGTTTGCAAAAATTTAAAGTTCTTTTACTTGATTGAGTGCTTCCATCGATCATGGCCATGTCGTGGGTAATAATTTGCCCCCATTGCATCGCAGCCAGCGTCCATATCGGGTCGTCGACGTCGACAGGGGGGAACAGAGTGTAGCTAACTAATCTGGACGGTGGTAATTCCGCTCCAGTCACAGATAAAGTAGGTGAGCGTACGCCTGCATAAATTGAACATTTTTCGACCAGCGAATTATTAAGAAATAACAGGGCACGCGAGTGAAAGTCGTCTGATATTACAATTTTGCTCGTTCGTTTCGACATGCATTCGACAAAACGATTTTATCCGGTGTAGAACGAAACCGAGAGATCGTGCGGTTTTGTATAATTCAAATATTAAGATAAATTTGCAGTAACATAAACTAAATAAGATTTTAGAAATCATGATTTTAATACATTTCTGAAATTGTAGAAACTGATTTATAAATGGTCAAATGAAAAACAGGTAGTATATCTGTTTTGAAGAAAGTAGCAAGTTAATACTTTTCTCCGTAACGTCATAAAAGGTAGCAAATAGATTAGCGGGAATCACGCAGATCGGCTGACCAGTTTTTAGAAAGTAAAACAATTGCAAAACACGCTCGTTGTCGCGTAATCGCGTCCGCGCCGCGACGATTAGGATAAAACGGGACTCGCGGTTCATTCATCATTCTTTCATTGGTATTTCCACGGCATCACGCATTTGATATTTCCTCGCTCACAATCAGCTATTTCCCCATCCACTCGAACTGAGAATGTTAAAAATGTCATCATAAAGGTTAATACCATTAGGTACTATGTGCATGAAATTCTTTCTTATCTATTAGAGAAATCAACAGATTTTTTCTGCGATTTCTTATTTCTATCAATCGTTTAACAGTTCATTAACTCTAAGTATAGACATTCGAAATATGCACTGACTAAAGCTAGAAAGATTAAGAAAATTCAACTTGTTCTATTAAAAAATAAAATTGATCCGGTCGATTCTTTTTAAGAATGAAAGGGTTTCGATGAATCATGGGATTGCAGAAACGTTTCCTACACCTGCAAAGGTTACGTATTAGTAAAATGTTATAAAGTTTACAAAGCAGGAGGCAAACTAGCTTCCACGCGAGCGCATAAATCACGTACGGACACGTTCGAACCATTGATATGGAAACAAGTTTCTGTGAAAGTGAATATTTGTCATGGGGAACGTCGATCTGATAAACAGCAGGAGTTTTATGAGCATTGCAGCAATTCTACGAATATACATGAAAATATGAAAGTACAATACTTTTTCTTATTATTAAAATCGTTTATAAAATCGTCGAATAATAAACGTCTGAAGAATTTTTCTACAAAATATGCAAAGTCTCCAGGAATACAAACTTTCTTGCTCGTTTTCTAACATGTCCAAAAAGAAGAGAAAATAAACTCGTTCTATTTTTTGCGGTGCTCGTAACCCATATTTTCCGAAAATAAAAATTAAAACGTGTTCTCGTCTGTACCAGTAGACCAGGAAATTGATAATACCGGTGATGTAAGATTTATCTTTTTGAGTTTCGTAACAACTTTATTACAGGAGAATTCTAAGAATTTTTACTAATTCTGTTGATATAATTAGTTCGAATCTAAGCAAATTAATTTCGATTTTATCTTCGAATTTTTCTTTCACATTGTATTTTAATGTTACAACACTTTCTCGACAGCGTTGTTGATATCTCGAAACCAGTCTCGCAGCTTTCATCACCGTTTGACGTCACACCCTTCTTTAGGAACAGAAAGCTTGCTTATCTAAAATCGCGCGAACTTTATATTTCAGCTTAGATTTTTCTTATCTTGTATTCACATGTGCGTCCCATTAAATTTGCAAAATTCATCAGGAAGAAGCTTGTTCAAAATTTGAAACAAGCTCGATAATTGATAATTACGTAGCTGTTTGAAAGAAAAGGAGATCGAGTCTCGCATAGCTTCTCATTCCCTTCTTCTCCGACCTTCGCGCGCAACAGGAAAGGTATTGTTCTCGGTATAATATCGTTAGCCCGAGGTGATCGAGGATTTTGCATCACGATTCGTTTAATGCACCCTCACGGTATAGATCGATTCCGCTGCAACTTTAACCCGTTCCATTGTTAGACGAACCGTGACCGTTAGAGCGCTTTCAGATACAAGAATCGCGATTCGTACGCGACTCACATCCATCCGAGACAGTCGGAAAAAACAAAGAAAAGATGACACGAATTGTCGAATAATCAATACAATATAATACGTAATAAAGAATATGTTTTTTCGTGACGCGAGTCGAATAGCCACTTGTTACTTCTCCCACTTTGACAGTATTTTACGAAACCATAGATTTAGTTTTTTAAAATGTCCAGTAACAAGGGGAAGAAAAATGTTCTAACTGAAACCAATTTATATAATGTAGTTCTGAAAATATACTCGATAATGTTAGAACGTTTCTCACAGTCGCCGAGCAGTTCACGTGAGAAAAAAGTTCGTTAGGGCAAATAACAAATGGTCGTGCACAATGGTTAAACAAAACCATGCCTACGGTGCACGTTGTTCGGAAGAATTCGAACGAGGTGAAAGTCACGTTCGGTTAATTCTACATCGCGGAAGTAATTCTTGTCAACCGTGATTCAGGGAATCGGCAAATCGGTTAGATAATGTATTAGATAGGGAACGTTTAAATTCAGGTCAGGCGCTTCTTTAAAATCTCGTTTGCCAACTTTATGACGTTACGTATTGCATTTGCAATCGCGTTTCTGTGTGCACAGGCTTTATCTCATTGATACACGTGCATCGTTAAATGATATTCAAATTACGATTCTTATTATCTACCTGTTTATTCAACTCGATAGAGAAAGTATTTATGTTAATTACTTAAATTAGTTTTCGTGTTCGATAAAAGATGAATAAATACGAGAGTAATTCAGTCTTACCGTCACCATAATTTCCTGGCAGTAACCGTCCGTATCTCGTGTTTGCCATGCCCCATGTGGGATTCTGCAAATTGTTGCAAGACCCATCGTACGTTCGATATCTTGACTTTTCACACCGCCGCCGATACATATCCCCGCACATGATTTCATCGTGAATATTAAATGTCGTGTTCCGTCCGAAACCAAACGACGAGCTTAAACTTAAAATTAATAAAGTACGAGTTCAATCTCGTTCAGTTTAAATTGGTACCATTCGCGATATGATTTATTTGTACATACCTGGTTGGAAAGAATGATGAATATATCGTCTGAGGTCGGGTAGACTGAGAAAATGGAGTATATGAACTTCCAAAGGCATTTGCATGTTGGTAGGTCACATAACTTGTCTCGGACTCTTCTAAATCTGATCGTTTCACTTTTCCTGGAATAAAATAATTATAGGAAGATCAATTGGATAATTTCTAGATCTCATTCCTTGCGATTTACTTCAAATCAGTTGAATCGAAACTCAAGATAAATTAAGGATGTATTGGCTATACAGTCAATCCCAAAAGTTTATGTACCTTAGAAAAACGCATTTCCTATAATTAAAAAGAAATCAGACGTCGGGAGAATAATGCTAATAATAAATAGCTACGTGCTAAAAAG